TAGGTTTCACACGCGCTCCGCCGGAATACATCACAATCACAATCACTTAGCATACATATATGGTGAGATAGTTCACCTGCCTGGTGTGATAATGTGTAATAATGGTGTCATGATCATAATGTGTAGCTCGTGACAGCTGGCCAATGGTGTTAAATCTCGTTGAAGGCAAGCATACATGATGTGAAGCCAGTGCAATCATCTTGGTTTAGAGAGATCTTTTACGAAGCCGTTTACCGCATTGTGCGTCGTGTTGTGGCACCTTTAGTTGTTATCAAACGTTATGTGATAGTGATAAATGACCCTTATTAACGTTCGTCTTCCGTAGATACCCGACAGTATAGTTGCACGAAAGACTGCACATCGTCGATTGCATGATTGCATATTATATTACATGAGCGTGAACATACCGTCATAGCATGGTGTTACTGTGGGCTCTAATTATTAGTGAAATCTTTGTGAATCATGCGCTCTTCTTGTAAACATGATGTTTGTTACATTAGTGTGCATACTACAAAGTGTTGCTGACTGATCAGTGTCTCTTATTTCCCCAGGTGCTGGTGCTCTGCTTTGCTGTTTTCTTTGGCTCCTATTCGCCTAGTGGTGTTGGCTTCCATCACATCTCTGCACTGCAGTCTCGTTCTCAGGTGCCGATGGGGGCAGACTTTAATCCTGATTCAGCTGACAGTGGAGGTGGATATGGGTTGAATGTCTACTCTACTTCAAGCAGTGAGTATATAAAGTGCATGGGCAGTTGGTTTTTAATTATACGCAAGTTTGCAGGCAAATAGAAAGCAACACCCTTGACTAATAACTGTAAACTTGTATTTGTTAGTTGTATGTTTCTGTATGCGTGGAACAGGAATTTTTACTAAATATTATTGTTTTTGCAACAGTAATTTACACGGCGTACAAGCCAAAGTATGCAGCTAAATTCCCTGTGCAGTGGCTTTTAATGAATCCCCAGTCTTAATAGTAAAGTACCTGTATTCTATCAATAGTTAGTAATTAGTATTATTTACTACTAACTTTCTTTATTAAGAGGGGCAATCTTAGAAATCTTAGAATGGAAGTACCTACATTCTTTATGTTTTGAATATATGTTGTGAAAATATAACTCAATGTCGATTTTGTCAGTCACGGATCAAAGCAAAATTTTCAGTTATTTTTTATGATTCCACGTTCAACGTTTATTCAATAGTAACGCTAGTTTGTTGCATTTATGTATACGTTGCATGTTGCATCGGGTTACACAACAGAACTTGTTGATCAGTCGGCAAAATTATGATAAACTAGATTAAAAAGAATAAATTAAAACAATAAAAACTCATTCTGAAATAGTTACAAATCCCTAGTTTCTTGTGTAATAGTATCACTATTGTTTCATTTACTATATGCTCATCCTTACTTCTCGTTTTTGTGTGCAGAGAGGTCCAGAGTTTTGCTGTCATTCCACGAAGAGAACACGGAAATGGCTTGTTTAGCAGATGCTTTCCCAAGTGGCCGCTCCAAGTCTGATGATGTTCTGCAGGCCCAAGATACGACAGCAACTAACAATGAAACGGGATCATCGAAAGGTCAATCGGACGAAGGCAGCCCAAGTTCTGGTGCCCCTGTTAAAAAATCAAGGGACCAGCTTAGTGGGTCCTTAGCTCTCAGTGCCGAAATGCGTTCTAAGCTTAATGAAGTGTCTGTCACTATTGGAGCCAGTGATCTCTCGACACAAGTGCCTACAAAAGTTATTGCTGTGGATAGGGTTAGAAATACAACAGAATAGCTGTTGTATTAGCAAAATAGATGCGAATAATAATGTATATTAATATTGTTCTCTAGACAAACGTGTGAGGCTACAGTCAAATAGTTGTGTTAATGCTATATGAAGGGACTGCGTTTAGCAGAAATGACCAATTAGTTTCGAAGGCATCGAGCCTTGAAATAATTTTACTATGGAATGGATGGCTTCATTTCTTGATACTGTGTATAAAGTGGACAGCTGTAAATATGTGGCACATTTGCTTTTTTGGTGGTAAGTGGTTATATAAATAAATAAATATATATAGAAAGAAATACATACATACATAGATAGGTATATAGATAGTGAAGGAGCAATGCAGATGGACGCAATGTGCAGATATATTATCTATTTTTTGTAACAAAAATATATTCATATATTCCTATATATCGTACATGTTTATTGCTGAATCATGATTAGTATTTTAAGGTTCATCGGTGGTGGTGCATTGGAGATCAAACTATTCTGTAAAATGGAATTTAATATTTTTGAAGTTATACTAGTCATATAAAGGCTGAAGCTTTTGCATGCACAGATGAATCATTGTTTTTAAGAAATTAATATATGGTGCTTTGGTGTAGATCAGCATGGCCTTTTGTTTCTCATTAATACATGCATGTGTTAGACACGTTTTATTGGCCTTTATCACTGAAGTATGGGTTTGGTTTTTGTGCGTAATCCGTGTATGATGAATGATATTTAGACATTTGTGATGGTCATACCCCATACATGTGATATCAGGTCGTGGGTCCTCGGGTCAATAGAGTAACTGGATAATAGTGGAAAATAAGAACAACTGGTGGAATAACCAGGTTATATTTAAACAATAACGGTGAGGGTCAACAACGAGTAGTCATTTGTCGATACCTTTGTTGTTCATTTCTAGTGGCTAAGCGTGCCTACCAGTTAACAACTACTAGTATCCGGTGTATGCAACAGAAATCTGTTGTGCCAACCAAAATTATTAGTAGTTTGGGTAGTGATTAAGATGTAAATCGTGAAAAAAAACGTGTACTACGTATGACTTCGTAACTAGTAAACTCGTTATGAAACAGTTTCGAGTCGAATGTCACTATGAATCAACATCACGTAATATACATGGGCGTACCTGTTATTATGTTTTTCTGTGTATGCCATTAAAAGTGCTTATATATAATAATTTTAGAGATTTCTGGTCATAATGATGTGAAATATTTGATTGACTTGATTGTCTTTGCCATTAATCAGGAAATGATGAGGGAAATTTTCCGGGTTTCTCGAACGTGTGAGCACAGTGCGTTATAATGAATGATACCATGCAATCAGATTGCGAAAGACCTTGCACGAAAATGCACGCGTTACTTATCTGGATTGTTATTTACTGACAATTGCAGAATTTGCAGCATATTTGTAACACAAGGACAAGGTGTAATGCTGCTTGTTCGTGTTGATGAAATAGAGGTCTCTGGTCAGAGAGTTGCTAAGAGAGAACTTGCTGAATATTCTCTCGTCTACGAAGAAAGTTTCTGTATAGACAGACGTACGCACTCACTCGTCCAGCGGTAGATTATATATGACTTCATGGTTATATATTATTAAAGCGGGCTTGACCTTCGTCCAAATATTGTGGTACGTCACCTGCGTTGTTGAAGTGTGTCACCAAATAAAACCAAGATCACGAAGACTTACGTCGTGTACTTTATGTAGGCCTACTATTGTCCTTACGATAAAGTCTGAATGAAGATGCATACTTGCAGAGTTCCTCCATAGCAGTAAGACTGTATTTGCGATCGACGTTGATTTTACATCAATTATTATTTATTCGTGCTGTTGACTGTAGAACTGTTTATGTTTTTGTGCTCAACGCCGTTGCGCACCTCTGCTTTGAAATTAACAGTGCCTTGATGCCACAACATAACAATACATTACATCAGGAGTATATTAAGACAAATATATTTGTCTTTATATACTCCTGATTACATGTACATGCGCTGTTCTCGTTTCACTGTTTCACCGCGTCGTATTACAACAGCGCCCCAGTCATTGGGCGCAGTCATTGCTTTTCTATCGGGTTTCTTCTCACGGAACCATGCCGAGACGTTTTTGGTAACCCGGATCGAGGATGTATCAGTTTTTTCCAAACTTGTGCTCCACGTGGCCTAGAACCACGTGGCCCCCCTGACGTTGGTGCAGGCGGTTTTTTCCCTGTCGCGGACCGATGCTATACATCTGGGCTGTTTTAAAATAATAAGATGTTATTAAACCCAACTTCACACTTCTTGCCTTCGTAAAAAGAGGGGGCTGGTTACGTACTGGTGTCTAGACAGAGAGAAGATCTATGCTAAATGGGTCAGCCCGGGAGCTACTCCGACAGCATAGACGTGGTACCGCTTTCGTGTCTCATGAGTTACGCATAATATTATGTCAATACACGAACTCAAATCAGAGTAGAACACTGAAGTGTATTGTCAGGACTACATAATAAATTCTTTACTGAAATTATGATTCGAGAAATACGGCAGTTTTCAAGTTTCGTAGGGTGAACTCTGGACGTTGAGTGACAACAGGACCAGTGTTTAGAATGTGTTTTCGGTATACATCGAGTAACCCCACTCCAGTTTATGTTCACTTATGAATGAAATGAAACCTTTTTAAACGCACGTTGATTATTTTATGGGATTATGTGATAATAAATGCTCCAATACAATGACTTGAATGTAAATCAACGAAATTTCTGCCAATGTCAGGGACATCATCTAAGAATAGCTGTTCCAACGGAAACGTCCATAAACATACACGGAAACGTCCGTTGCATATGGATTGTGACCAGGCCGTGGCAAAACTAAAACTAAAATGTAATAAACAATGGCATCAGAGAAACTTGAAACGTGTCAACGATAAAATGACGTTAATAAACACGAATTGTATTTACTACTGAAACCTTGATGTTTATCTACTACTCTCTCTCTCTCTTGCTAATTACTAGTAATAATCACCCTAAATGCCGTTCAACTGCTCCTCTGCAACACACAATCTCACCTCATACACGAAACTGCCCAAACTCACAGAAAGATAGAGCGTTGACTCATACTACATCTCTACATCTGTGCTAAACAAAATATATGAGCGGCGCGCACACTGCTAACGGCGACAACCTGTGACAAGTGCGCGATTTTGGCATGATGAAGAATATTTCATATTCAACGCATGCAGCTTAAGCGGCCCATACACGATCAATATAATTCACAATAATATTGTCAATAATGAAAATTGGCAATATTATTGATTGTAAGTAAGTAATATTGAAGCAAAATTTTAACTTGCGCAATATAGGTACTAACGGAATAAAAACTAGGTAGATGTTTATTGAATATTGCGAAATTTTATTGTGTCGTTGCTAGTACATAATCAGAATATTGTGTAATATCTTATTCTGAAGTCAGGCCGCAAAGAGTAAAGATGTCCTCCCAAGGGAAGGAAGAGGAAAGAAGGTTAATTCTAGAATGTATAGAACTATACCGGAAACTGCCAGCTTTGGAACGTGAAAAGCGCTGATTACAGCAACCGAGATAAAAAGAAAAGAAAAAGAAGAAGATCAAGCATGAGAAAGTTCTTGCAAAGTTACGGGAGCGATATGACAATGCAACGAAAGAAGATGTCAAGAAGAAGTTTAACGCCCTTCGTACGAACTTCAGAAATGAGTTGAAAAAAACTAAACAGTTGTAAAAAGTCTGGTGCAGGGACAGATGAACTATATGAACCAATCCTGTATATGCATCAGAGCACAAATGACGGTAATATTTCACAGTATTATTGTGCCGTTGGTGGCCAACAGAATTTCTTTTCAATAATATTGTACCAATATTATTGTCAATTATACTGATCGTGTATGGGCCGCTTTAGGCGGTCCCTCTCACGTTCCATTCAACAGCGCTGCCCCGTCACGCCTTGCGCCGTCCATAGGCACTTGGACCTTTTCAATAATAAAATGATGTTAAATCATCACGAAATGCATTTACCACCAATATCCTAATATTTATCCATTCTCGTTCGCCAGTATTAATAATAATTCCTCGTAAATGCAGTTCAGATGCTCCTCTGCAACACACAATTTCACCGCACGCACGCCACTGTGTACAAACTCCCAGAAAGTTAGAGAATACTCTTTGTAAATCGTCTAATACGATTTGTAATACATATAATTTGTGTTCATTTACAATCATGTTATCATTGAAACGGTTCACGTGCCTGTGGCCCGGCCACTTGTAGCGCAACGCGACGAGCACAGGCGCTCTCGAGCGGTCGGTTATAGCTTCCTATACTCTCGTGTGCATTGAAAACGTCCCTCGCACAGTACGAGACAGGCGGTATACAGCAATAAATGTCGCCATGCCATCATGGTGCTATATTCTATGCTATGCTATATACGTCGATGTGTAGCCGTTTAATGCTGTTGTATGTTCTAATCAGCGAACGTACGTACAACAGGCGCGGCTTGTGAAGCCTACCTGATGAAGCGCCCATATCGGTGACGTACGTGTGACCAAGGCCAAATGTCGGAAACACTGACAGAATTGATGGCACATCCACGCTGGCTCACCTACGATGTCATATATGTGTATTCTTAGCCGACATTTGGCTGAAAGCTCGTTATGATCTACATTCGTGTTTACTACAGTAAAATTTAGTTGGAAACTCGCTATTATATACTCTAGGCTCACTATACATAACAAGGAATAAATTAGCCTAGTTTATACTGAGGCATTATTTTTCACGAAAGCGTCCACCTGTACAGTTCTATGATGCATGCATGTATATACTTCAATCATCTTTCTATCGGACAATTCATGTCTTAATTATCGTTTTTAGCAGACATCTTATACTTCCTCTAATTATGTGACCTCCAAAATGTATAATAATGGTGTCAATCAATTCCTCGGTGTTAAAAACCTATATGTAGCCACAAAAATCAACTTCCTAGGTCACTTACATAAGGAGTTATCATCATTTGACGAAATTCGCAAAAGGCTGCTATATTTGGGGGTAGGGTTGACCCTGCGTTACAACAGCCCCCTAAGCATCATATAGAACCCGGGGCATCATTGTGAAGCTTGGGTCAATTAGAGCACTTAATGAGGAAACTTTTGGCCAATTTTGGTAGCTCTAGCTACAATATTGGGCGAGTGAGAAGCAATGATACTATCAAAGTGACGACGATTTTTGGCCATTTTTTGGCTAAAATTGAGCAAAATGTAGCCATTTCGTACCATGAAACAATGTTTATGATAACAAATCATGCTAGAAAGTTGTTAGTAATACTTATTCAATGTAATTCAGTGCAATTTGAAAGTTTATGGATGCTTAATAAAGACTTGTGCTCTGAAACTTCAATATTGTCATTTTTTCACTTTGGCGCCTAACGGAAAATCATATAATGGACTGTACATACAACACGTACTTGACCTAGGAGGTGTTACCCAAACTTTTTTTGAGTCTTACCATAAGGAATGAGAAAATATAAGGTTTTGCTCTAAAAGAGTCATTTACACGAACACCCCCCCCCCACCAGAGCCAGGAGTATATAATTTGCCTTCGGGTTTTCTATAGCCTCGTCTACACGACGAACCTTAACTCGAGTTAAGCTAACTCGATTGACTTTGATCTTCTTGAACGACTGAACTGATCGAATAGCATGTGCACGGGCGCGCGTGTTTAGATCCATAGGATGGAACGTGAAGAGTAGAAGAATGGTATGCAAGATGTCCGCTGGGGGAAAAATTTGAATCCGAGTGGACAGGAAGGTGGATCATTCAAGATGTATGCCTCAATATCAATGTCATGTGTGTGCCATGTGTGCGGGTTTGTTTAAAGACATCTTGTGCAAGATGCATCAGACGGCCTCGCCAATTTTCTGGTGAATGCATATACAATACGAGATTGAAATTACAAGATTTATGATGTTTTTCTTTGTTTTTTTTCGGGCCTACGCAGATTTCATTTTGGGGCCACCAAAAATTGAAGAATCCATATTTTGGCTGGCCCGATCGGCGACTGAAAAAAAAAGTTAGTTGTCGGATGCCTTGCCTTAACCCACTCTTTCTCTCTCTGAGTGATGTGTACTTGCCTGCATTGGCGGAGATGCCAGCCGCTATGGGCATAAAATGCATGTAACTTGGTATTACTTCTATGCAATAACTTACACCTATGTCGAAACTGGCAGAGCTATTCCGGCCTTCATGCCACCAGATATAATTTTAAGAGTGTGATGTAATGGTGTTCAGGGTTGCCGCCCAGGATGAAAATTCAAACAGGGGGAGAGAGGGAAGGGGAGGGGAGGGCGGGTGGGGGAATACTAGGAGGGGAGGCGTGTTTTTGTTACCGTACCCACTAATTAATGCGTAAAATCGGCCACCGAACAACGAGTAGACGTATTGTGGGGTTCTTAGTATATATAGGGAATAGCCGAGTCGGTGTACAGTTAGTGTTGGGGTGTGCGGGCCCAGGTTGACTTTTTGTCACTTGTGTACTTGATCTGCTAGATGCATGCGTGGATAAAAACGTGGTGTGCAAATTACACACGTGGGTTACTTTCGAGAGTCTTGAGATGCGTGCGCTGCCAAATCTTTTATTGTGGGTGGAATTTAATCGGGCGGAGGTAATTAACGGGGCGCAACGAGTTAAAAGAGGTGGTCCCCAAACCAGGGCGGCGCGCGCGCACGCCTAGTTGCGCGAACGTAGGGAGAAGCCCGTGGTGTTGTCTGCATGAAAGCGGAATGGTCGAATTCTATTCAACCTTGCTCATGAGGTGTGAAGTAGTTACGTGAAGTACCAAAGTAACATCATTTTTGACGCGCTACTAAATGAGCTGATTTTCGCAGATGGCTCGCGTCCGGAACCCGGAGCTACCCTCCGAGCTACGCATCAGACATCCCACGTCATCCCGTGTCTGCAACTGCGTACAGGCGCGATGATGCGCAACAGGAACTCTGACGTGACTGTATTGCCGTATAAAAAATATATATATATATTGCACTGCTCCGTCATCTTTCATCTCGCTTCCTATCTCGCTCTCTCTTCTCTCTTTCAACACTGCCACCATCAGCTCCTCTCTCTCACTACAACACACACCTCTAGCTCTCCTCTCTCTCTCTTCTCTCAACACACACTCTAGCTCTCTCTCTCTCACCACACACACACCTAGCTACTCTCTCTCCTTACACATAGCACACACAGCACACTCACACACATTTCGCACACACACCGCCGCGCTACGTATGCGGCCGCGTGACACACACAGCACACACACACACCGGAGGACACCAGATTGCATTGCAGCTCACATCATCATTATGCACCTGTTTGTTTATATGGTTTATCCTGCAAGGACACTTATAACTATTGTCATTATTATCCACAGTGGTAGTGAACTACCGACAAGTATGAAAATCATAACATAACACACACAGCGTGCCCTCACGACACAGCAGCACGTGCAGCTCACACCTACGACACACACACACACATCACAGTCACGGCACTCTAACCACAACACACACGCACTACACACTGGTCCGTCTCAAGTCAGACACACTAATCACACACCACACCACACACACACACACACACAACACACAGCACAACACACACAACAGTCCGGTCAACACCAGCACACCACACACCACACACACACACCACCACACACACACACATCACCACACACACAACACACACACACACACACACACACACACAACACACACACAGACACAACATCACACAACACACGAGCCAGACTACAAGCACACACACACACACAGCACACACACACACACACACCCACACACACACCCACACACAAACACACACCGTCACCACACACACACACCCACAGCACAGCACAGACACACACCACATGACAGCACTACACAGCCACACACACAACACACACACACACGCACCACACACACATCACACAACACACGAGGCACACACACACACAACACACACAGCACACTACACACACACCGAGGCAGACAACACACACATCCTCACCACACACATCACACAACACACACACACACACACCACCTACACAACCGTGCGCACCGAACCACACACGACACACACAACACACCATCACACACACACCACCAGCACCACACACACAGCAGCACACACAGCACACACACAACACACACACTACATCACACACACACAGGCACACAGTCCACACACACCACACACCACACCAACGGACACCTCACACACACACCGACACACACACACACACCCACCACCACACAACCACAGCACAACACACAGCACACACACACCACACACACACACAGCACACAACACCCTCTAGCTCCCTCTCATCTCCTCTCTCTCGTTCTCTCATGCCTCTCCGCATACACACACACAGGGATTGCTCGGCAATCAGAAGAGCGTCCCCGTTGCCGCAATCATGCGTGTACGGTCGCAAGCATCACTGTGTGCAAGATTGGATGTCCGACCCGTAGCCTAGCGGCTCCGTCGTCCGGGAACCGGTCGCGTAGCCACGGCCTACTATTTTACTCTAGCACTGAAACTTTGTACCGATACGTATGAAATGCAACGCAGGTGACAATTATGTTGGATTTTTTAGTAATTACGGTAGATTATCATTGTGTGCATGATATCATCCGCTAAGGGCATAGAATCGGAATAAACGCAGACTGATGATTTATTTGCAGGGCCCAGAGTAGAATTGGCCGATGATATAGTCATGTAGAAGCGTAGCCTGTACGCTCACAGTCACGCAAGTCATCAGGACCCTTAGACGTACATCAACACGGCAACATTTACTGATTTAGTAAACAAAATCCATCTTACAGATTATTCAAACAAGTATTGGTTTTTGTGTGAAACACAAATGCAATATATCACATAGGAGCAAGTGCATGCTATGATTTGTAATCTGAATAATATCTAATACCCATACATTACTCCTGAAACTGAAATGAAAATGATTAAGAATGAAAGTTTTGCAAACTCACCATTGTTAACGCGGTAAAATAATGGCAGTAGTGCCACCTTGTGGAGATAAATACAAACAAATCGTACTATAACAAAGTAACCAACGAAATACAAACACCATAATGATACACACAGTAAATAAAAAAATCTTTTTTAAACTAGAACATTTTTTATTGTAATTAATAGAACTGGGTTTAGCAATGATTGTGTTATATATTAATAATAATTGATTCTCTCGATGCGGACTGCGTAGACTGGGTAAACTTGCTCGCCACCCGTCGATGTATTCCCGAAATGGGGTAAAAGTGGGAGTGAGTACAGTCCTAGCGGACTGCGGAAGAGTGGGCGGGGCTGTATCTGAACTTGACGTCATAGGATTCGACAAGACCCGTTCAGAAACCAATCTTGTTTCGAAGGTTATTTGTTTTTCCAAAAACCTAATTTAACAGAGTGCTACCGACAATAACAGTAATGTCTCACAGTTTCCTCAATACTTGTGACTGTAACAAACGCTGGTCAGACATCGGCACTCAGTGAATGCTGATGTACAGAACAGGTGAATTAATTTTATTTTCTCCTCGAGTTGACCTGCGCCGTGGGCTGTCCGCCTAACGCAATATTAATATTATTATTAATATTAATATTATAATGTAGGGCCTACTGCGCTCAATCAGTCGTTATTTATATTTCGGAACGTACTCTGGGTACGGTCCGGTTAGCCGGAACGTTTACCCCTGGTAGCTATCTAATATGCCGAGACCGGTACTCGCCTAACTCCACTAACCGAGTCTAGGGACTCTGCCTACGCCTACTCCTAACCGCTAGCTAACCCTAACCGCTAATCCTAAAACCGCTAGGGCTTAACCGATTCTAAATAGACAGGGTTACGTTCCGGCAAGTACCCCTGGCCGCTGGGGGGACATACACCCTGTGAGCCCCTACGGACACGAATTATGGTAAAGTTATGGCCTCGCGCTCCAGTCGTCGCGTAAACACGGCCTTAGCGAGCTTTATCTAGAGTAGAAGACATGACCCAGTGCTCGAAATAAGAAAAAAAATGGGGTGTCCATGCGGACAACATCGCGGCATCAAATCGGGTTGTCCCGCAGACATTTCTGGTTGTCGCCCAAAAAATATCCCCAAATCTCCTATTTTCCCAATCACATAATAATATGATCAGGAAAACACCCAAAACAGTGGCGTAGCCGGATTTTTTAACAAGCGGAGACCAAAAACAAGCGAACTGCGCAATAATATGGATGACTTAATATTTTTACTGGCTGCCTGTCCGCCTCTCTCATCCCACACCTAACCGGCTCCCTCTACCTTCAGCTCTGGCAATCCATGCGAAAAGGCGACATTTATTGTTCATTGTTCTCTGCTCCCCAAGATATGGTAATTGTTTCAGTGGCGGGTTTAGGATTCCAAGGAGGGAGGAGTGAAAAACAAGGCATAGGGGAGTGGGTATGGGGTCCTTCCCCCAGAAAATTTAGAACTTGCTGTTTGCTGGTTCCAAATCGAGTTTCACCTCTCATAAATCAGAAAACCTGACATATACCAAGTGTTGGAAATACAGACTGGTCCATATTTTATATATTATATCACGATTTATTCCACGATTAAAATTTCTGTGATGGCTAGAAAACACATCGGTTTGAAGTATGAAACTGAACATTTATATGTGCCAGCTAGCCTACACCAGTTGGTGGTGATTGATTGTCAGTTCAGATTGCATAAATATTGAAGCAAAAAAGTTATACATCATAGATGTAATTGGGTACCACGCGTATAATATAGGGGGAGATAGCCACGAGTCGGTTTAGAGTCGGTGTTAGGGTTAGGGATAGTGTTTCTTGGTGTGTCGCACCGGACAATGTCTCAGACTGGTTAGGTTGTCCGGGCAAACTTCTGGTTGTCTCGGACAACCGGACAAGCTTTATTTCGATGCACTGTGACCCATTGTGTATTGTAGACATAAAGTATTGTGGGACATGTTAACTATACTAGGGCCGCATTACCTAACAATATTAGCAATAAATTATGAGTATTTCTGATATTATATTTCTGAGCTGCAAAATGGCAGTTGACAGCGGCACAAAATACACAGGCTCTTGAGACGTTTCAGTAATAAAATGATACGAATTGTTTTTACTATCAATGTTATAATGTATATCTATTCTCTTTGCCTAATTTATTACTGATAATTCCTCGTAAATACCATTGAAATGCTGCTCTACAAGAATACAGTCTCACCTGCATGAACGCCACTGTGCACAAACTCACACTGTCACAGAAAGATATGAGCATGTAGAAAAGCGTGAGCACTAAATTTACACAAATTCACAATGCTCGCTTCGTTTCACACGCATCAATGCAATAATACACAAACAACCACGTACCTCTCATGTTGGTACGTATCTATGCGTAACCAACTGTTCACTTGTTAAATTATAACCCTTGTCATTTTGTATAACCTAATTTGCAGTAATTCTCTGCAGAAAACTACAACTCCACAGCAATGTAAATGGAAGCAGACTGTTTATTATCTAAAATTCCTTAACCGCATTACTCAATAGTTTGCGTCAATGAATATCGTACGTGTGTGACGTCATTCCTGCGTAAATCCATGCTGACTTGGCCTTAGAGCTGAGTGACGGGCCTGTGATGGAGCTCAGAAGCCTGGAACACTTGGACGAGAAGGCAAAGTGCCGCCATCACTCATATAAGGATCTGCTTCATTACATTGCCGTGAAGTGGGAGTTTTGAGTTTTCTGCAGTACTTATTTTACTAGATTTCCTCTGAGTAAATTGTGTTCTATCCAATTGCAAGGCGATAATTCGACCATTCCACATATGCAGGTGGAGGGCGGTTGTTTGTGTAATTTTGCTTGTGATGGCGTGAAACCAAGTAAGGGTTGTGTGAATTTTAGCGCTCAGGGGGCCGTTGTCAGAACACATCGTAAAGTTAATGCTAATGTTAATGTTAAGATAACACTTACGACTAATGTTAATGTTACCAGAGGAGCGTTGACAGAAACACATCGCAGTATTAGAAAACTTTACCGAATAACAGGAACTTCATAATTTGATGTCTCAAGGCTGCTGATTGGATGAGAATCGATCACAAAAATTCAAATTCATACACTTTATTATGACATCACAGTAAATTTATGCCTATTATGATGGCTAACCACATATAAATAATATTTGATGAAAACGACACGGTCTTGAATTTATTCTGCAGCAACAAGACAAATTCTCAACTTGTAACACGAGACGCGAGAGTCGATGGTCAGTGCAAAAGTATTTAAAACGAGCACAAATGCGCATA